CCGCCTCAGTGGTCTAATAGTAGAGCGTCCGCCCGGAGAGCGGAATGTCCGAGGTTCGATCCCCGACCGCGTCATACGCAAAGCGTTAAGGGATTAAAACAAGGACTGGACGGCTCGGAGTCAGGATACGGTGTCTGAGTGGGGGCATTCATGTTAAACTGCGGCATGGTATCTCAGTGGGTTAAAACAAGGACTGGACGGCTCGGAGTCAGTATACAGTGTCTGAGTGGGGGTATTCATGTTAAACTGCGGCATGGTATCTCAGTGGGCAAATCGGCATCAGTCCGGACTGGTACAAGCAGCCATACAGGTACATGCACATCGCTATATAAGTGCAATAATCCTGAACGCGACGTTAACACAATTTCACCTCACCTCACCTCACCTCACCTCACCTCACCTCACCTCACCTCACCTCACCTCTCCTCACCTCACCTTAATCAAACTCCTGTACTCGAAGCTAAACATTGACAGATGTGTGTTTAGAACCTATATACTGGATGGCACTCCGTCAAACTTGTAAATCTTAATCCTTACCTCGAAATCAAGTCGAAATATCTCCGACTCTCTCTTTATATTTATTAGTTCCCATGTTTATCATAAGTCCGCGAGCAATCTATTCTGGGTCAACAAGCAAACCGTAATTGCATAATGTTACCAGTTATTTCGATACAGTTCCTATGCATGAAAGCACAATCAGTGATTCTCTTGTCAGGAATAGATCTAATTGGCAGTATACTCAGCGTACATTGAAGGTTAGCGTACATTTTTACGGCTGTTATTGTGGTATTTCCGCCATTTATGTACAATTACTGATACAGTAACACTGCAAATACTGTGCTACTCGCATGACTGTTTCAGTAAGCATGTTCACAAAGATTACTTTAAGAAAAAAAATTGTTTGTTTGTTTCAAAAGTGGTTGATATGAGCAAGGCCTCACACTCACAATCAACCAGGTCAGGAGGTACGGTCGGCTGTACAGAGTTGCGTCCCAGAAACACATGATTGTGGGTTCGAATCCCGGTTCGCCCCGATTATGTTTCTAGGTTTGTCAGCACCATACCCGTGCTCGTGGGTTTCACCGAAGTGGTAAACGTCTGAGACCTGCATCACATCAAACTGACACGCCGTGATGTAACTGGAATACTGTTCAAAGCGCCGTTAACCCAAACTCACTCACTCACTCACTCAACCTAATCACCACGCTTGACCACCCGATTCCAGTTTAAGAAGTGACACAAAGTGAGACACTGAATATCTTAAATCTCGTTTCTGTCCAATCCAACAATATCATCACCAAGAATGGAACAATGTGAGAATGAGTTGACGCCGCTGTTAGTAAATTTCCGGCAATATCAGGAGACACCAAGAGTTATGTTTATTTATGTGTCACATGTACAAGCATATACATTAAAATCGGTATATAATTTTAGACGTATACGTATGGAAATTAGTTCAGCAACACCCGTATAAATAAATTTGTGAAAAGAAAGGGTTGAGGAGAGACATAGCCAAGATTACAATGAAATAATGTGCTTTTTTTGGAAATGTTACTGATTTGGAAAGTGACTTAATTTCATCCCAAAAATTACGAATGTCACTTTTATTGCACAAACTTAACTGTCAGTACCATGCACACTTCTGGTTCATGGAATTGAGGAACAATGTCTTGCAAGTCAAAATATTGACTTCCATCAGTATCCTGTGTAACCTCCCTGAACCCGAACAACTGCTTCAAGACGCCTCCTCATTCTTTGGATCAATCTCTGGATTTGATTCTGAGGAATTCTGTTCCATTCCTCATGCAAAGCAGCAGTCAATTCATTGAGCGTATGGACCGGTGGGTCTCTTTGTCTAAAATGTCCCACAGATGCTCAATGGGATTGAAATCTAGACTCATAGCTGGCCATGAAATTCCTCATGGAAGATCTGAGTGACAGCACGTACTCTCTGAGGCCTGGCATTATCATCCAAGAAGATAGGTCTTGTGACTAGAGGATGATTATCAAAATGGGGGCAACAGCTCTCTCAAGGATCTCCTGTTGATAATGAGGCCCATTAAGGGTACCACGAATGGTGATGAGGTCCATCTTGCAAGACAAGGAAATGCATCCCCATACCATGACTGACCCTTCCCCAAAGGGAACCATCCACCTTATGCAAATAGGAACCGACTCTCATCAGAGAAGTGAGCCCTCCACCATGATGCAAGGTTCCAGCGAAGACGTTGCTTACACCAGCCAAGTCGTGCTAATTTGTGAGTAGGAAACAGTTTAATACGTTTGGTGGGTCTTCTGACACTGTATCCTGCAGTTTTCAGCCGATTTCTGACTGTCCTGGAGGAATGGGCTCTCTCGGGTAACCACTGTTTCCTTAAAGATTTTCTTGAGTCCAATGGACGGTGCCTAGCAAGTCTCAACAATGTTCTATCCTATATTCTTGTTATCTTTCGGGGTCTGCAATGCCTAGGACGATCTTTCACATTACTGGTAGCCATGTGTTTGTTCAAGAGTCTTGAAATGATGGAAGGATTGCGCCCAAGTTGACGTCCAATTTGTCTGAGGGACATTCCTACATTTTTCATGCCAATAATTTGTCACCTTGCAGCCTGTATCAATTTCCGACGTGCCATGTCAATTAGGGTACTGAATACGAAATACAAATTGAAAGAAGAGAGTGTGACGTGTCATGATTCCATCCTTGATTTCAACAATGTTGTCGGTTTGACATTGCCCGACATTGCGAGTCGTTGCACGAGCATTACATGTCTCAAAAAAGTCATGCTATACATCTAGATGCAATATGTCACATTGATCAATCGGTAAAATACTGTTTTCTTAATTCACAGAATTATAGGTCTATGAAGTAGGTTCTGCTTGATTAATTTCCATGTGCATGTAAAGCCTGCACATCCAGCCGGATTTGGCTTACGAGACACAATGACATCAAACACATTATAAAACTATTAAGTTTTACTGAGCCCTGTACTGTATATCTGTTACAGCCTGGGGTGTCTGAGAAAAGATGAAAGTGGTGCAGGTCGTAGATTTTTCTCATTTGGTGAAACAAATTATCCCGGGTATATGTGATGCTGAAAAACCTAGGATCATAAACAGGTCGTGTGAGGGATTCAAAAAGACGAATTAATTAGGCATGCTGCACTATACATTATGACACAGACATGACGCTTTAGACCACCGGGTCACGTTGTCCCTGTTAATGTATAGTCCTTGGTGTCAATACTATAGATATTCAAGAAATATCATTGTAATATTTCACGTGTAAAGAACAACGGGATATTCCCACGTGAAAGACACAACGACATTGACGGTAACGTCAGTCCCCTTTACGTCTTATGCCGATGTCCAAGGGCATACGTTTCGCCCTCGGATGGTAGCTCGGGGTAGAAAACACTCAGGGATGAAGTTTAAGATCTAGACGACAGCATGTTTAGGATGGAGCCGCACAACTCTGTATCTCCCTCCTGCTACATTTCAATCCGGAGTATATTCATAAATTCTATTGGTATGTCTTGTCCAAGCTTGGCTACTTACAGACTGTTTATTGTTGCAGGTTGAAATAGGCCGAAAAGGTACAGGCTGCTAATAACGTGACAGAACGCACACCGGGGCTGAGTGGCTAATGTTCCCGGTACGGAGATCCGCTTCTGTCGATGATCTGGCCCCGTCTCTTGACTGACCATGTCAGTCAGGTTTTCTACATACAGGTATTACGTCGGGCAAGCTCGGTGACCCACGCGTATGTACATACATATGATCCGGCGACGTGAGCAGGTGTAAACTGACATTTATAGATAACGCTTGAGATTAAGGGTTCTGCCCGGAGGGGGCCTATGATTAGGGTGAGTCAGTGAGTGAATGAGTGAGTGAGTGAGTATTGTTTTACGCCGCTTTTAGCAATATTCCAGCAATATCACGACGGAGGACACCAGAAATGTACCCATGTCGGAAATCGTACCCGGGTCTTCGGCGTGACGAGCGAACGCTTTAACAACTAGGGTAGCCGACCGCCCCCTATGATTAGAAGGGAAACGCCAAATGTATGCTGAATATATTAACAAGACAAGGGCATAGAATTTCGGTGCACTTGGAAACATATTGAACCAATTACGTATTTTAGATAAATGAAGTTTTAAATAAAAGTATTGAAATGGTTTGCACTATAACACTGACAACGTCATTGTCAGGAAACAGCAGCAACATTCATAAAGACGTTATGCACTTGTGTCCCACTGAGATGACTTGAGACACTTAACAGTTACTTCTTTCGATTTTTAGATTTTCCATAAGGAAACATTGGTTGTAGATATTTCTACAATTAGGTAAAAATAAATATCATGGATCGTTTAAACCAGAACTGGTTTGCGGTTAACAGCACTGAGGTATTTGGGAACAGTAACAGTCACTTGTTTCTATGTTGCAGTGTTAACGTTATGTCACGACAGTCTGTAAGTAGCTAAGCTTGGACAAGACATACCAATAGAATTTATGAATATACTCCGGATTAAAAAGTAGCAGGAAGGAGATACAGAGTTGTGCGGCTCCATCCTAGTTAAACTTTATGTCATGGAGTCATAGGCCGCGACAGTGTGAATGATTGCTCATAATATCAATCACTGGATAGTCTGGCTAAGACTCCATAATTTACAGGCCGACATCATAAAACTTGATTATTGCTGAATGCGTCGTTAAACAACAAACACAAACACACGCACAAACACACACACAACGACTGTCTCTCTCTCTCTCTCTCTCTCTCTCTCTCTCTCTCTCTCTCTCTCTCTCACACACACACACACACACACACACACACACACACACACACACGCACGCACATTAACCAAGAGTACGTGTTATGTTAAACTTAACAATTCTTGAAATCGTAACAAAGACAAAATCATAGCACAAAAGTTTCAGTGTAGTTACCAATGCTTGTCTCGCTAAACCACCGCTGCTTAGCACTAGAACGGAAAACAGCGACGGACTGTAGATGTTTGAAGTGAAATTATGTGACTATTAATACTTGTCGCTACCGAGACTTGTCCATTGGACTTTCACGATGAAGGGAGTGCTGCTTGTTCTTTGTGTGCTCGGTTTACTCGGTGAGTATTTGGTCATCGGTCATTCTCTGGCGTTAACGTTTTACATTTATTTGAACTGGGTCGATGTTTCTGCTGGTAGACTGAAGTCCTCCATTTTCGTCATAGGCTCAGTAGCATTTATCAAATATGCTGAGTCAACAAAATAAATGTTTGGGTCGAGACATTAAAACATCCCCTACTATGTTACAGAAGTGAACACATTTCTAAAACGTTTTTTAAAACTTATCAGCAGCACAATCTCTGCATTTGTACACAGCAGACATAATTCAAAATTATAATTATATATATTTTATTATCATTTTCACCGCTATTTTGCATTATTACGCCCAGTGGATTCCTACTCGTCGCATAATCGACATGGGTTATTCTCTTGCGTTGATGTTTTATAGAGAGTGAGTGAGTATGGTTTTACATCGTTTTAAGAAATATTCCAGCGATATCACGGCAGGGGACACCAGAAAAAGGCTGCACTCATTGTGCCAATGTGGGGAATCGACCAGGGTCTGAGGCGTGACGAGCGAATGTTTTAACCACAAGGCTACCCCACCGCCCGTTGACGTTTTTTATATTTGTTAATATGATTGAAAACATTATGTATTACAAGTACCCAGAATGACTTACCTTAAAGATAAACTGCTTGATCAAAAATAGAGTCTCAGGTGGATAATGATTTTGAAAAGAAATGTCTCAGTCGTTAGTATCATCGCCCTAAAACATTAGCAAATTAACCATATTTTTGTGCACGGTGCACATATTCAGGAACGCCTCCGTGGTCTACTGGGTAGATCCTTTGCCCGGAGAGCGGAAGGTCTCCGGTTCGATCGCAGCGTCATTCCAAAAGACGTGAAAAGATGGTACTCTAACAGTTACACAAACACAAACACAAGCTCGTTGCTGTATAACTCGACGTTCCTCACGTTACGTATTCAGAAAGAGGTTACTACAAAGTTTATAATCGCCTGCAAGAATACCTGAGTCACAGCACGGAGATAATTTGAAAGAGTGCCAATTGTGGCGCACTTCGTATAGGATCGCACTACGTCCATAAGTCCGATTGGTGCAGACCGACCAAGGATAATAATTCAGTTGAATCTGGATTCTAAGACATATACCCGCAATTTGACGCCGCTAACGAACAACTGCCCATGCGCAGTGAACCTGAGATGACAATATGCTTAAAAACGTCCGAATAGAAGATCACGGTATTAATGCGAGCAAGAGAGACACATTTTCCGCATCAATATCGTGCTCGCATTAATTTCGTGATTTAGGGTAATGATGATGATGATAATGTTGGATATTTAACGAGCGCTTCCGGCCGCGGTGTTGCCGATTTCGCACTCGATTTACGGTATGTTCTCATACAGAAATGTTCAGTAGTGTATTTAGTCTACTCGTGTGGACGCTATGGCCATAGAGAAACAAAGATTGTGCGCTTGATCAGTTTATCAGAATCCCGTGTGAGTATTCACTAAGCATGTTTCGTATCACCAGGTTCAGCGTTAAGCCAGTGTGACGAGCACCTTGCCACGCCCCTTGTAGCTCGTTGCCTGGACATGATGACGACCTGGGCACGAGCCAGAACAGCCCGACAGCTGCAGAGAGGATGCAGGTAGGAACAGATATATGCGTTTATTGTACGAGCTGGACATTAACTATTTAATTTATATAAATAAAAAACGAAGAAATTATGAAATTAATAAGGTTGATAACATAAGCATTGTATGTCCAACGCTGTCGATGTACGGTGACAGATGGACATGTCCACATTTTAGTCGACTCCTGCGATAAGCATAAGGTATTGGGGGCCTGCCTATATCAGGACTACAGTATGGTACCAGGCCATCAGTATAAAAGAACACCAGCGAATAACTTTGGGTCCGTTTGCAATTTGAACGTATGAACCGAGGGATCCAAGAACAATGGATTTAAGACGGTTATAGTGAGTGAGTGAGTGAGTGAGTATGGTTTTACGCCGCTTTTAGCAATATCACGGCGGGGGACACCAGAAATGGGCTTCACACATTGTACCCATGTCGGGAATCGAACCCGGGTCTTCGGCGTGGTGTGCGAACGCTTTAACCACTTGGCTACCCGACCGCCCCTAAGCCGGTTATAAATCGCCTTAGAACTGTTCCAGAAGGTACTGGAGAATGACATTTGCATCACCCCAAAATAGTTGGTCACTGGACATGATGGACATGAGATGAAATGGGTTTAACGTCGTGTCCAAGATTATCGCACTTATGTAGCGACGTACCTGCACCTGTTGTTGTTTTTTGTTGTTTTACACCGCACTCAGCGATATTCAAACTATATGACGGAGGTCTGTATCTAAAAGACAATCCAGTGATATAATGAGCATCAATATACGCAACTGGGATACGATGATATGCATTTACCAAGTCAGCGAGCCTGACTACCCGATCTGGTTTGTCGCCTCTTACCTGAGAGATACCATGCCGCAGTTTAACATGAATACCACATTCAGACACAGTGTACTAGCCGACCAGTCCTTGTTTAGCCAATTTATGCCGAGCGACAGGCAGGGTAACAATAAGTACCATCTTATTTCGTTCTTTTGGTATGACTCGATAGGGGATCGAAACCTCGAACTTCCGCTCTCCGGGCGGACGCTCTACCACTAGACCACGGAGGCGTTCACATGCTGCATGTTCTGAAGAAGATGTTTTGTTTGAAAGTCTAGTGTTTTCCTGAACGCACACGGGAAAATATGGGATTATTGTTTATTGTTTAAGTGTTTAGGTGGATATCAATTTTGTCACGGAAGCGTCATTCTTGGAAGTGTCCACCATACGTCTACCATAAATCGTTTTGAAAGCCTGTTCCATGTAACACATTGTAACCATACAATACTCATAATTTGCTCTTACGACAAACGCTGACCTTTCTACTCCAGAAAGTGTCTTGAATATTGAGTGAATATTGCTGGCTGGGGCTCAAAATACCATTAACACACTCACTCACTCACTCACTCACTCACTCAATCACTCAAGACTATAATATCCTACTTTCAGCGGGGCCTATGCTTATGTAGCGTGTATGGAGACGTACATCTTGGAGTGCAGGGAGCAGTTCTCGAGTCCAGCCAAAACGATAGAGTTGCTGGGAAAAATGAGGGGTCAGAGACTGAGAATTGATACATTCTGTAAGTGTTTTATTCATTTCAACATTTTCGTAATTAAAACAGTATACACTGTTAAAAAATGCGTTAGAATGTAAACATACAAGACATGTTTAGATATAATGGGCTGTCGGGTAGCCTAGTGGTCAAAGCATTTGCTTGTCACGCCGAAGACCCGGGTTCGTTTCCCGACATTGGAACAATGTGTGAAGCGCATTTCTGGTGTCCCCTCCGTGATGTTGCTGGATTATTGTATAAAGCGACGTAAAATTATATTCAATCACTCACTTACTTACATCTTTACATGTTTAGGACTGTGTTTAAATCATAAACGGAATGTACATTTTTGGTGTTCTATCTAAACACGTTTAGGGTTAAACTGACGAAATGAGTTATCGTTTTACAGCCTAAACACCACCAGAACACGTCTTAAACATGTTTACGTCAAAGTGCACGACATACACATATAGTGACATTCCACACACATATAGTAACATTCCACACATATACAGTTGCCTTCCACACATATATAGTGAACTTCCATACATATATAGTGGCCTTCCACACATATATACAGTCAAGTCACGTTAATCCGACATCGATGGTTGCATATGATTATGTCGGATTAACGGGTATGTCGGATAAACGAAATTTAGTAGTATCAACGTTCGTGATCGAAAATCGGACAACTACACGATAGATAAGGATTCAAACACGTAATAAAAAATATCAAATGAATATTCATATTGTTATGTTACATTGCCTTCCACACATATATAGTGACCTTCAACACACATATATAGTGGCCCCCCACACATATATAGTGACCTTTCATACATATATAGTAAACTTCCATACATATATAGTTGCCTTCCACTTATATTGTGACCTTCAACACACATATCGTGAAATTCTACACATATATAGTGACATTCAACACATATATATTGAACTTCCACACACATATAGTGACCATCAACGCACATTTAGTAGCCTTCCACTCATATATAGTGGCCTTCCACACATATATACTGAACTTCCACACATATATACTGAACTTCCACACATATATACTGAACTCCCACACACATACAGTGGCCTTCCACACACATACAGTGACCTTCCACACATATATACTGAACTTCCACACATATATACTGAACTTCCACACATATATACTGAACTCCCACACACATACAGTGACCTTCCACACACATATAGTGACCTTCCACACATATATACTGAACTTCCACACATACATACTGAACTCCCACACACATACAGTGACCTTCCACACATATTTACTGAACTTCCACACATATATACTGAACTTCCACACATATATACTGAACTCCCACACACACATATAGTGACCTTCCACACAAATACAGCTACCTTCCACACATGTTTAGTGAACTTGTTCTCTGCATCTTGTTCAAATATTCAAAGAATTAAAAGTTATTGAACTGTGTATTATTATTTTTTATGTTACAGGTCATCGTAGGCTTGCATCGTGTAAACGATAAACACCACCTTGATCGATGTTACCGGTCTCATCCGTCTGATGGAAAACCGCTATGTTGTCTGTACAATATACAACGATCCGTGTTCTTTCATTCAATATTAAACCTCTTCTTATGCAGTGTTCGTTACTTATTTCTGTGAACTCGTTATTTGGAATTCCCCATCCTCAATGCATATCTAATATATTACTATGAGACATGCAGAATAGGTTTAAGTGTCATTTTCAGTATAGACGCCATGAAGCCATATTTGAAACGTAGATCGAAATGTCCTTGTTCCTGGCATAGTGTCAGAACCACGTGTCAACATTTTTTGCCTTTTGGAGTCAGAAGTGATGACCACAACATACATGAATTACCACACTTAGACTCAGTGTTTGCTTCCTTATAAGTACTCTGCGGCGGAATAGGTATCTGGTAATACATGCTTGTAACAGCCCACTAGTGGGGATCGGGTGGTCACAGTCTATTGGTCTGGTTGATCGGGTGGTCACAGACTATTGGTCTGGGTGATCGGGTGGTCACAGTCTATTGGCCTGGTTGATCGGGTGGTCACAGACTATTCGTCTGAGTGATCGGGTGGTCACAGTCTATTGGTCTGGTTGATCGGGTAGTCACAGTCTATTGGTCTGGTTGATCGGGTGGTCGCAGTCTATTGGTCTGGTTGATCGGGTGGTCACAGTCTATTGGTCTGGTAGATCGGGTGGTCACAGTCTATTGGTATGGTTGATCGGGTGGTCACAGTCTATCGGTCTGGTTGATCGGGTGGTCACAGTCTATCGGTCTGGTTGATCGGGTGGTCACAGTCTATTGGCCTGGTTGATCTGGTGGCCACAGTCTATTGGTCTGGTTGAATGGGTGGTCACAGTCTATTGGCCTGGTTGATCTGGTGGTCACAGTCTATTGGTCTGGTTGATCGGGTGGTCACAGTCTATTGGTCTGGTTGATCGGGTGGTCACAGTCTATCGGTCTGATTGATCGCGTGGTCACAGTCTATTGGTCTGATTGATCAGGTGGCCACAGTCGATTGGTCTGATTGATGGAGTGGTCACAGAATATTGGTCTGGTTGATCGAGTGGTCACAGTCTATTGGTCCGGTTGATCGGGTGGTCACAGTCGATTGGTCTGGTTGATCGGGTGGTCACAGTCTATCGGTCTGGTTGATCGGGTGGTCACAGTCTTTTGGCCTGGTTGATCTGGTGGCCACAGTCTATTGGTCTGGTTGAATGGGTGGTCACAGTCTATTGGTCTGGTTGATCTGGTGGTCGCAGTCTATTGGTCTGGTTGATCGGGTGGTCACAGTCTATTGGTCTGGTTGATCGGGTGGTCACAGTCTATTGGTCTGGTTGATCGGGTGGTCACAGTCTATCGGTCTGGTTGATCGGGTGGTCACAGTCTATCGGTCTGGTTGATCGGGTGGTCACAGTCTATTGGCCTGGTTGATCTGGTGGCCACAGTCTATTGGTCTGGTTGAATGGGTGGTCACAGTCTATTGGCCTGGTTGATCTGGTGGTCACAGTCTATTGGTCTGGTTGATCGGGTGGTCACAGTCTATTGGTCTGGTTGATCGGGTGGTCACAGTCTATCGGTCTGATTGATCGCGTGGTCACAGTCTATTGGTCTGATTGATCAGGTGGCCACAGTCGATTGGTCTGATTGATGGAGTGGTCACAGAATATTGGTCTGGTTGATCGAGTGGTCACAGTCTATTGGTCCGGTTGATCGGGTGGTCACAGTCGATTGGTCTGGCAGATCAGGTGGTCACAGTCTATTGGTCTGGTTGATCGGGTGGTCACAGTCTATCGGTCTGGTTGATCGGGTGGTCACAGTCTATCGGTCTGGTTGATCGGGTGGTCACCGTCTATTGGCCTGGTTGATCTGGTGGCAACAGTCTATTGGTCTGGTTGAATGGGTGGTCACAGTCTATTGGCCTGGTTGATCTGGTGGTCACAGTCTATTGGTCTGGTTGAATGGGTGGTCACAGTCTATGGTCTGGTTGATCGGGTGGTCATGGTCTATTTGTCTGGTTGATCGTGTGGTCGCAGTCGATTGGTCTGGTTGATCGGGTGGTCAGAGTCTATCGGTCTGGTTGATCGGGTGGTCACAGTCTATCGGTCTGGTTGATCGCGTGGTCACAGTCTATTTGTCTGGTTGATCGGGTGGTCACAGTCTATTGATCTGGTTGAATGGGTGGTGGTCAAAGTCTATTGATTTGGTTGATCGGGTGGTCACAGTCTATCGGTCTGTTTGATCGCGTGGTCACAGTCTTTTTGTCTGGTTGATCGGGTGGTCATTGTCGATTGGTCTGGTTGATCGGGTGGTCACAGACTATTGGTCTAGTTGATCGGGTGGTCACAGACTATTGGTCTGGTTGATCGGGTGGTCAAAGACTATTGGTCTAGTTCATCGGGTGGTTACAGTCTATTGATCCGGCTGATCGAGTGGTCACAGTCCATTGATCTGGTTGATCGGGTGGTCACAGTCTGGTTGATCGGGTGGTCATAGTCTATTGGTCTGGTTGATAGGGTGATCACAGTCTGGTTGATCGGGTTGTCACAGTCTGTGGTCTGGTTGATCGGGTGGTCATAGTATATTGGTCTGGTTGATCGGGTGGTCACAGACTATTGGTCTGGTGGTCTAGACGATTCTGCTGATTCAACAAATAGACTGCTAAACCGTGTCCATGTTACAATATTGATATCATGAGTGATCGATTAAATGTTATTTGATATATTCCGTAGGCAATATTACGGATATACAGGTGAACGTATGACTTGCCTTTGTATGTGTTTGTGACGGGTGCCACCGGTGCCACAGACATGCCATCAACCAGGCTAAACACTGTTACCTCCCAACCCTCGTGTATGCCCACACCACATGGAATGCATTTGGTCTTTGAATGGCATTTAGAAGTGATAAACATAAGAGAGAGAATGTAGTGATGTCAACTTTAATATGACGAGCACCACGTTTCGGAGTATATGCTTACTCCTTTATCTGGTGACTGATGATACTCTGAAACGTTGTGTTCCTCATAATGCAAAGTTGACATCAATACAGCCACACATCCATCTGTCTATAATTTGCATTCGGTGCCTCTAGAACAGCTCTCATTCTCACCATCATTTATTAATTAGACGGCTATGTGTTGAGCTTGTTCACTAACCCGAAACGTACTCTATTGATTAACTGTTTCAAGTTGCGTCCTGTTTCTTTACTGAACAGGAACGAACCCATTGTCCTTTTAATGATTGGTGATTTTGCGTCGTGAACTTGGTAACAACCATAGTATGAACACTGCTTTTCCACAGCCTGTCTGAGGTAAGTGTTGTACATGTGTATTACGGTTGCCACATCCTAATAACGAAATTAAATATAAATCGTGGAATGTAGTCCCCATTCTTACTGTACTTACCGTATCCACTCATTCGCTCATCACAATCGGTTCTGTATGTCAATACCCTGTGGTGACCTGGTGCAGGGAAGTCAATGGCCGCCGCATAGTGTGTTCTAGAACTAGTCGTCCCGGTAGTGATGCTTAGTTTAATGATGGTATGCATGAGGTCTGGGGAATCCATATGGAAACTAGATTTACTAATTCCATGTGAGTCTACTTTCCATAAGCGCTTTCCAGATGACTATCACATAACACAACACAATAAGGCGACAACAGTACCCTTATAAGAATGATGATCTCTCTATTTATCACTGTAAATCTAATTTTAATTAACCATTTAAATGTCGCATGTACATAAGCAACATCACTACTGCTGTTGGTATTCTGTAGTTTACCGAATGAGTCAAAGTGGCATCGAAGGCATTGACATGATTTATCAACAGACAAATACCTCCGTCTTCTTCTAGCTTGAGGAAAACTAGTTGAACTCGCTTATCTCCATGAGGCAGTCAAATTTTGAACTGTTCATGATTGTTCACATATTTCGAATCAATGCCTTCAACTTTGCAAACCGTAATAATCATACTTTTATGCTTATCGTACCTTTGACTGATATGATATAAGCAATTCTTGACCACCCGTAGGATATATTTGTAAAGTCACCGTTATAGATGGTGTTCAGTCTATCGGTTATCGGGTTCCAATCTTGGTTTGCCGGAGTTACAGATCAGTGCAGAAATGTCAGTCATTACTTTGTGATTTATGTGCGCAATAAAGTAAGTGTGCGTGTGTGCGTGCGTGCGTGCGTGCGCGCGTGCATGCATGCGTGCGTGCGTGCGTGCGTGCGTGCGTGCGTGTGTGTGTGTGTGTGTGTGGCATGTGGAAATATATTGCATTTAACCAGGTATTTTTAAGGTTATAGCTTTTGACATGTTACAATACCTTTTATTTACTAGGTTTTCGGTGTTGCTTGGAATCAAATCATTGAATTTATGAAGCTTCAAAACATTTTGAGTAATTGATTCCTGAATATTGGAAATAATATCCGAGCCTATTACTTATCGATTCCCTGTGTCGTTATGACATTTGAAATTAAAAAACGCAGAACGTATGAGTAGGCCTATATCCAATGGTTTCTGAGGATGAAATATTTACAGAGAGCCACGACGGACAAGGATGCTATGATTATTAAGTTTTTGACTGAAATATAAAAAAACACGCCTTGCTACTCAATAGAATTGACTACGTGAATTAAAAAATAAAAGGTGTGTGGGTGGGTGTTTTAATTGAAAACATCTTGATTACTCGAAGAACAGATATGAGTTACAACATCTTTATTAATGGTGTCTAATGTTTACTAAACAATGATTCATATGTTTCAGTATCGTCATGGGAAAACTTATCAACATCTTAAAAGCGGGTTTTATGTGGTCAGGTATATTTCGAAAGGTGAGTGTTTCAGACACTATATTGAACTGAGATGCATCAGTATTGTGGCGATTTCTCCCATAACAGTATGCAGAAAAGAGATGAGTGGTTTTGTGTTTTATTGATTCTGATGTATTTCTATCTATTGGTAACCCAGGACCTCTTGATGTTGAGATTACATTCTTTGGGCTTTTATTGGGCCCCTTACATAAACCATTTGTTGGTATAGTGATTGGGCTTTAAAGGCAAAAGTAACGGTCAAAATTATATGATGGATAACTGCAACGATTTAGATCATTCTGATATAGTTTCATGAACATAGATTAAAATCATACTGCATAATACATATTGTCCGTGCGCACTATGAAAAACACTGACTCACCATTCTTTTATCCCTTCTGATCCAGCGCGATAGAAGACGATAATAATAATAATTACTATCATTAACATTAATACACATATTTTATATTGACATATTTTATATTGATATTAGGGGCGGTCGGGTAGCCAAGTGATTAAAGCGTTCGCTCGTCACGCCGAAGACCTGGGTTCGATTCCCGACATGGGTACAATGTGTGAAGCCCATTTCTGGTGTCCCCCGCCGTGATATTGCTGGAATATTGCTAAAAGCGGCGTATAACCATATTCACTCACTCACTTTTTTGATATTTCTAAATCTGTATCATTGTAATTTCATTTTGTTCACTTTGTTACAGACATTATGTCGTCACTGGATGATTTTCACATTAATGGCTGGTGTTATGGTTTGTTCCTACATGTATGCTACGCAATCAAGGACTGAAGGAAAATCAAAGAAAACAGAAGCCAGGAGCAGAGATAACACACATCTGCGTTTTACATTCAGAAAACAAGAAGAAAGGGGGACAATCGAAGACAAATATGTAATTTATACATGTAATACAAGTCACTGTGGAGGGTATGCAGCCAGACAAAAGGGGATGGTAACAGCGTATGTCTTGTCTGAAATGCTTGGACGCAAGTTTGGCATTAGTATGAAAAGGCCTTGTGACCTCTCTGAGTTTATGGTTCCAAAGAACGTTAATTGGACTATAGATATGAACTTATTTGAAGGCAGGAGAAAGGACTGGTTCGTTAGTTTTGGAAATCGCAAGCTTGTTTTATTCGAAAGAAGTGATTTGGAAGCATTGTTTCGGAAAGATGTATTGATGTACACGGGAAACATCGATTATGTCTATTCTCTTATGAAAAACCCTTTGTTTAAAAGAGTACTTTGGGCCAAGAAGTTAAGCCACCTCGATATATTCAAAAACGCACTGGAAAAATTGTTTAAGCTTTCACCTAAAACTCAAAATACACTTAATGGCATACTTGGAAGCATTGGCCCAAATAACCACAAACTGGTGTGTGCGCACATACGTATGGGTAAAAGTCGGACAATTCCAACAGATAGCATAAGGGCGAACCGTCCAAATCGAACAGCTCTGGTCAGGTTCTTCAAACAGAGGCTACACCTGGGTCGTGATAAGTTATTCATAGCAACGGATTCCGATGATGTCAGGGAACTATTTCGTAAATCTTTCCCTGACTCCTATCTAGAGGTAAAAGGGGATGTTCTTCATATTGATAAACCACCGGTGAAATATGAGTGTTCTTCAATGGAGAAGGTGATTCTGGATCAGTATATTCTGTCCATGTGCGACACTCTAGTCACGTCCGTCAGTAGCTTTAGCCGGCTTGCTGCCATTATGAGAGGGACGGATCACGAGTTGTATGTGGCTCGTGGAAATAACATATCACTCGGCCACAGATATGTTCTGACCGGAAAGTAAGTGTTTTCCTTACTTATCCCATACACATCCTTACTGTAATTAATATACATGTACTTCGATTACAAAACGAAAGGTTTATTGTTGAACCACTGCGAAAGCAAATCCTGGGACAGACAAGATGATAAATTTGCATTCACAAAAGGTGTTTTTCTACATTGATCGGCTAAGAAAAACCGGATAATACCCAAGCCGGATGAACTGGTTCTCACACATGTTAAGTGTAGGGTTAGCGTATTGTAATGTACAATATCGTCGAAGGCACACGTGTATCAATAATGTGCAAATTTAACATTTGAAAGTGGAGATGAGTGCATGTGATACAGATATACTGCAATATATATTACGAATCAGTATAAGGTACTATCAAAACAATATTGAGTTTGAGGTTATTTGTACGTTCAAAATTATATCGAATTTTGTTCACACTGTTACACCGACTCTAATTGAACGTAAGTGTTTTTGCTCCTAATGTAGAATAGTTGTTTGTTGTTTATCTCATCCCTATAAATTTGTAATCTGATATTGTAAACTGAGGCGGTGGGGTAGCCTAGTGGTTAAAGTGTTCGCTCGTCGCAAGGACCCGGGTTCGATTCCCGACATGGGTACAATATTTGAAGCCCGTTTCTGGTGTCCCCCGCCCTGATATTGCTGGAATATTGCTTTAAAACGGCATGGAACCATTCTCACTCACGCACTCACTCACTATTGTTAACTGTGTATATAGAGCGTGTTATTGGTTACCTGTTGCTAGACTATCAGGATAGACTACTCCAGTTACAATGTTATAAATATTCAGAATCAACACTAAAACATATATCACTTTCTTATTACGCTTGTATATAAACAAGACAAAGATATATTTTCTTCACAAGGAGTACACAAATCTATACAAAATTAATCCATTTGACCAAAGACCATAAAATAAATATTTCTTTTGGTTTCTGATTTCACCAATAAATGTTGATTGTACGTTAAGATGGTTGATAATGCTTTCAATTACTAGATCAAGATTCGCCTTGTTACATGTGTGTTTGTTATCGCCCTTGCTTTTTAACTTGTTCAGAAATGATTTATTATATACTCTCAACAGTCTTAATATTGGTGTAACTGTAGACAATTTTAATATTGCAGCATTAGCATATGCAGATGATTTAGCATTGCTAGCTGAGAATGAAGCTGATCTCAGTCTACTGTTAGATGTTTTACATACTTGGTGTTGCACAAATAAGATAGAGATAAATAAGGAAAAGTCTAAAATTGTCCATTTTAGAAATCCGTCTGTCATACAGACGAAGCATGTTTTTGATGTCGGAAATATGATTTTAGACATTGCTGCTAAGTATAATTATCTTGGTCTACTGTTCACAGACCACTTAGATTTTATTGCAATGGCACGTGCAGCAGCAAAGTCTGCTAATAGGGCTTTGGGTCTGTTGATATCCAAAGTTAAGACAATAGGCGGTATGCATTTCCAAACCTATTCCAAATTGTACGATAGTATGGTGCGGTCTGTTCTTGACTACGGGGCGGCTATAGCTATCTGGGGTAATTATGATGTGTCAGCAATAAATGCTGTACACCATAGAGCCATTAGATTTTATTTGGGACTCGGCAAATACGCCCCCAACGTCGCTATAAATGGGGACATGGGATGGATGCCGCCTGTTGTCAGACAGTGGAAAAGTGTAGCAAGACAATGGTGTCGCCTTAAGAATATGTCTACTAGGTTAAACAAACACGTGTTTAACTGGGCTGATAGATACGCTGTAAATGGTTGTAAAAATTGGAATGGTAGGGTAAGAAAGAAGTTTAGTAATATGGATTTAGGACATCTATTAAACGCAACAGGTTTTTTTTATAAATTTTCTGTTTGTACACAAGTGGACCAATGGTGTAAAAATGAATATTGGAGTGATATGTTAAGAAAGGAAGAGGGGCGAAATGGGCTTAATAAATTGAGAATGTATCGATGTTACAAACAAGTATATGGGACAGAATACTATGTTTTAAATAAGATGCCCAGAAACTATAGATCGGCACTAGCCAAGTTTAGATGTGGAGTGGCTCCTATTCGAGTGGAAACCGGTCGATACGAAGGTGTACCTGTCAATAATAGAAAATGTTTTCACTGTAATGACAGCGTAGAAGACGAGGTCCATGTTTTGTTTCACTGCGCATTATATGATGATATCAGGGCAACTCTTTTTAATGAATGTATTGCTAAATCTTATAATGTTTTAGATATGCCTGATATCGACAAACTTTGTTTTATTTTCAGTGACTCCAGTGTGTGTTTTATACTTGCCAAAGTCTGCTTTTTAATTCTTAATTGTAGAAAACATCTTTTATATGGATAACTTTTTACTATATCATCTTTATATCATTTATGTATAAATTCTGTGATAATTCGTCTCTAATAATTCTATTGAATGGTTCTGTACATTTTATCTAAGCTGTTTTATGTATGTACAGGAGTGAGACGTTAATAAACTATTGTCTGTGTACTGTTCTCAAACTCGCGCTCCGTCAGTACGTGATGACCTCATTGTGTACATACATCTCTTTGTAACTCATCCATGCAAAGCGTTAGCGTGCAGTTCCTTCGGATACGCTTGTTTATTCGACGATGTTAACAGCGTAGCGATTATCTGGGTCAGTCGGCCATCCCTTAGGTAATGTGCAGGTGTCACTAGGCTGGGTGAAACAGGCCACACGATCAAAGTACTGGCGCATCAACGACATACTTAACAGGTAACCTCCCTGCCAATGAAATTATTATTTGCTGTCTGACAAAAGCACAGTTGTTGCTACTACCTTCCTTTCTCTACTGCGGGGCATATATGAACTAATGGACACCTCAGCTTATAAGGTCACAGTGACCTAAACACAGTGACCCGGATGTTGCTTTGTGCGTTGGCAGTTTCAAAAAGGTGTTTCGTTCCAGGGAGTAATATCTCACGTACAAATTTCCAGTGGATTTTTTTGCCAAGGATATAATTACCATAGCCAGTATCTTACTAACACTGGACTATTTTCCCTTATGGATTTCTTTCCTCAGGAAACTATTTGACCCGGAAACATTAATCTTTTACATATACACCCTGTACGAGTCAGCGCGAAACAGTTTTCATATTATACTGTGTACATTACGAGGTGTTTCAGTGTCATGCTACTATGTGATTATTGTGGAAATGAAATACTACCAGGTTCTGATCGTGTAACTGTGTATGACAAAGACGAAGAAGTGCGTTATGTGGCACGTGGTGATCATATACCACCAGGATTCAAGTGTGTCACTGTCTGTATGAAAGACGGCTGTGTCAAATATCTCAGAGCAGGAAGCAGCGTACCAGTGGGTTTCGATATTGTTTCTGTTTATGAGAAACATCGGGATATACTGTTAACAAAGAGAAGGGATACTAGTCATATACAATCAGGAGTACAATGTGTCCACGTCTGTGTCAGATCGGACGCTGTGCCATACAGCAGGGAAGGTTACATTACAACATCAACTGATATGCGTCTAACAGCTGAACAAGTACTGCACACAGAGTGTCTGTTGTAAGTAGGACACACACTGCGAGGACTGAATACATGTACTTGAATATGGCGCTTAAACACTCCTATTGTGATAATATAAAATTATTATTGTTATTTTTATTTTTATTTTTTATTTTATCATAATTTATATTATAATTAAAATATTACTGTTTTACATTTCTATTTTTTTCTGATGAAATAGTTTGGGTAAATGTGCTATTGTATTAACTGGTGCGGAAAACAACAATAACTCTCTCCTTTGACTTACTTGTCCACTGTCTTGTGCAAGTACATTTACTACAGAATTAATTTTAGAAACCTTAAGCTAGTAAACCTATGCTTATGAATTTATGGTACAGGGTGAGAAAAGACGTTGATATTAATCACAAAATGATATTATATCAAAATATACTGACTTGCGCATCATAATCCCGTTATAGAATCCTAGCAACTGCTTATGATACAGAAATGCAATTCTATACAATATCTATCTTAAAAGAGTAGGGGGGGGGGGGGGGGGGGGGGGGGGGGGGGTAGGGTAGTCTATGGTTAAAGTGTTCGCTCGTCACACCGAATACCCGGGTTCCATTCCCCACATGGGTACAGTGTGCGAAGCCCCTTTTCTGGTGTCCAGTGATATCGGTTGAACATTGCTAAAAGCGGCGTAAAACGATATTCACTCACTCATTCTTGAAGGATTAGAAATATGGTAAGGAGAGAGGGTTTTTTCTTGTCAATATCACAAGTTATTGTTAATGGGTATTCGTTGTGTATGTCCTGCCTGAACTATGCTTCCTGTCATAATTATACTTTCTTATTGTTTACTAAGACTAAGACAGTTTAACTCTTACTTTTCAGTGAACATAGTTCCAGGTGTGAAGAAGCAGTTCGTACTTTTGTACAGCTTGTCTCTTCAGCAAGCAACGTCCTGTCGATGGGAATTGACGTTAGCTACCTGTACGGTGCCGCTGTACACGAGAAAGACGCTAGAAAGAAAAAGAGAGAGAAAAGGGAAAATAAAATTCAGGAACTGTCAAGAAACGTCTCGGCACTGCGTAATTCAAACGGGGGATACGTGCTGATTCATCTTGTTGGTTTAGTATCAGCGGATTTTTTCACTGGCGCATTTGATGAGTTTGTGGACATAAAACTAAATGGCTTGATTCAGGACGGCAACATGTTTAGTGATGTGTATAAGAAACAACGACTAAGCACTCACACAGAACTACAATGTTTTCATGACTTTCTGTCTCTTTTCGTCAGTGCCGCTTCCTCAGTGACAACTTCAAACTTCAATACAAAGATTGCACTTGATGATTGTATAATAGAACCGACGGCAGAAACACTTCGGAGCTTTTTGAGAACAAAAAGACGATTAAGTGAAACCTTCCACAGACTTTCAGGAATCGTAAGTGCGGATGACCTCAAGCATGTGCACGAAAGCAGATCAATTGAAATGAAGGGTCACTTTCTTTCAAAGGAAAGCGATGAGGAACTTGCTTGTTCCATACTTAATAGTTTTAAACTTGCAGAATATATAACCGCATTCACCAAACTTGAAGGTGGGGGTTCCTATTTATATGGAGTAAACGAGAGTTCTTCCACGGAACATGGGTATGCATCTAAAACATCCCGACCCGACCCTGTTGTAATCAATAATCAAGATTATTTAAAAAAGACTTTGGAGCAGAAGATTCGCGATACTATTCTCGTCTGTGACTATGATGGGAACACATTACCAGATGCTAATGTAGCTGAAGTTCACTTTATTCCTTGCATGTCACATTCTAAAGAAACAAAAGACAGACATAATGGTCAGCCTGTTATCATTCACGTTTCTGTCAGGTCAGTTAGTGGGATTGTGTTTTATGATAAAATGGGACCATTGGCCTACAAATATGACAACACACAAAGACTAGTCACCCAAATGGATATCAAGGAATGGATCCGTGCGTTTCTAAAGACGTCGGTGTAGGTGATATGGCAGGTAACCATTCCTGTGTCATCCGTCTCCCTTACAACCATGAGAGCAGTTTCTGTTACACATGTAACATGTACTTTACGGAATAGGTCACCTCACCTCACGGTGGCATCTCCAGGCCGAGTGTCCTGTCTTGTCGTGGAATTTGTTTCGGTGGATAATCGCGTTGGCGTTTTAAATTTAGTAGATGTCTATCTCCATGTATATAAAGTTGCAGCACATACATCGATGTTTGTTATTGTTTTCTTTTTGTCAGAATCTGCACCGTAAAGTCTTTACAAAAGTATTGATGCCTGGAATGACTCGTTTGATAATGAAACCGAACACTTGCTTCGAAATATATGTGTATCTCTTTATATTGATTTTAAGAGGGCTACCTATTGCTGATACGGTGCCGCACTGAGATGATGCTCACACTGTGATAGGTTTTATCACTGCCAGTAATCTCACTGATGTAACGCCTGGGCAAGATGTTAAATACAGTAGCATGATTATGGCTTTAGACAAGGAGACGCATACAAATTATCTAGAAGGGGTTGCAGGGATATCTACACTGTAGGGGTTATTTCAGAACGATAGTTTAAAATGCTTCAGTCTTACGAGTGTTCTCAAGAACCTGATTCGGAAATAGTTCCCACTGTCTCCGTATCAAGAAAAGACAATGTTTTCATAAACCTGTTTGTTTACTGAGTACAACAGCGGCAATATCGGCCATTATTTGAAGTCCTACGTCGCGTGGCTATTGTCTTGTAACATTTGTATGCTAAATATACTAAAATCGCTGAATATACTGACTAAAATATAATGATAATGTGAACTATTAACTAAAATGTATTGCCTAAAATATTATGATAATGTGAACTATTAACTAAAATGTATTGCCTAAAATATAATGATAATGTGAACTATTAACTAAAATGTATTGACTAAAATATAATGATAATGTGAACTATTAACTAAAATGTTTTGACTAAAATATAATGATAATGTGAACTATTAACTACAATTCCAGATGCATTTCTTGTGCTTAAAATCATACTCTGACAAGGATTAAATTTGAAAATGAAAAATTGAGAAGATTTGCTGAATTTATCTGAAGTAATGTCAGGTAGTTGGACCGAAAAGAGCATATTCATCATCACACAAACACGTTCGCCTCTTATTTAGATTCTCAAGCCTTTGTAACTTTACGGGGATGTCATCAAAGATATGTGGTATGACATTCTGAAATGTCACTACTCCCTTGCTTCCCGAGTAGGCCGTCGGTTAGTAAGGTGACAAATCCCTTTCAATTATCATAAGAAACGCCTGCTAAAAGCTCCGTCCATTTTCCTAATCCGAACTATATCATATTAAGCATGTGTCTATGAATCACTATCAAATAAGATGAAACATTGTTCTTTATTATATGAGGCGAAGTTTTACGCCATATCATTACCCTAAAAGCGGTTACGTGTCATTGAACAGAAGCGCATAATGACACAATGTTGTCTGACAATTTACGTCATCATATGCCTGGCAATGATATGAGGCATTTTGCATGATGGAGCCAACATGGATGCGGTCATTAAACAGGGGATGTAATAACCAGACCCGTATTACACCCCCTGTCGGGCTGATATGGCTTGTCAATGCATTTTGAATGGGCGATCGATATCAGCGCTGTGGTAACAAATTAGAGTTACGTCCCTTAGTGCGTCGTCTGCTCAGTTGGCTTTCCCGCGACAATGATTTCCAAACAAGGTGAAGATGTTTTGCATGCATTTGCAAATAGATACATTTTACAATTTTATGTCATGGTTTTATATGATAAAGAGGTTATTATATTGTAGTTTTGATATCATACCCCATTTCAACTCGAGACCCCAATATCAGCTCGAGGGCAGAAGGCGAGGGCGCACTGTATTAACACATATATGACAACAAAGTGCTAATTTAACATTTCAGCATGACAATCGGGGCCTATAGGATACAGGGATCCACTGAAGGATACATAATGTCATGATCTATATAGGGACGATACACCAACTGTGCGATTTGATACATAATTATCATGATAGACCCGTGAAGGACTGGGGTAGAATAGGTGTTCAGCAACCCATGCTTGCCGTAAAAGGCGACTATGCTTGTCGTAAGAGGCGACTAACGGGATCGGGTGGTCAGACTCGCTGACTGAGTTGATGCATGTAATCGATCCCAATTGCGTGGATTGATGTTCATGATGTCAATCACTGGATTGTCTGGTCCAGACTCGATTATTTGCAGACCGCCGTCATATAAATGTAATATTGCTGAGTGCGGCGTTTAACAAGAAACAAAACAAAACATATCATGACACCTTGATCAGATAGATATCACGGTACTTGCATGTGCACTTATCTGTAGTGCGTGAGCCATGTTTTTAATACACAGGATGGCCAAATACCTGCATACTAATGATTTACAGTTGGCAGTGTCAAGTATGGCACAATGGATGAAAATATTTATGTTTTCACTGCTCATTTTCTCCAGTAATAAGTGTTTGGTGTAACATTTATTAAAGAATACATTTAAGGTAAGAATCTAAAATTTTTTACTTAGTGTGCGATTGTGAATGATACTTGAAGGAGAAGTAAAACATCGTGCATCATCCTACTACTATGTTATATATATCTACTTCAGTATCATTAACAACCCTATCAAATTATGATTTGTTAGTTCTACGTTTGTACTAACACAGATAGAGAATCATTAGAATATCGGCTAGAATGTTCTTCTCGATAGGTGGTATGAGGCGATGTGAGGTGAATTTAATGTCTCATTCAAGAGTATTGCATTTATAGGGGAGAAACTGGGATTCAAACTAAGAATCGTCGGATTCTTGCACGTTTAAGGGAATCTGCAAACACTGGAAAGCGAATTATGACGACTGGACCTCCCTTTTACTGCATCTTGGAAACAGAAATAAGACCTGCGTGCATTTGTTGACATAATCACGCTATCGTAGCCCACGGGAGGTAACTCCTGTCACCATACCACAACAGTAAGTTCATACTCGCTGAAAGTGATGGTCATTGTATAACTTGCCGCATATAGGTCACCAGATAACCCATACCTGCGGTGTGAGATGATTACACTGGCCTCAACAAACAGTAGGGATAACCATACTCCGTGGTGTATGTTTGTTTGTTTGTTTGTTTGTTGTTTAACGCCGCACTCATCAATATTCTAGCTATATGACGGCGGTCTGTGAATAATCGTGTCTTGACCAGACGATTCAGTGACTGACATCATGAGCATCGATCCACGCAATTTTGATACGATGACATGCATCAACCAAGTCAGCGAGCCTGACTACCCGATCCCGTTAGTCGCCTCTCACGACAGTCATACTCCGTGGTGTATAGTACACCACATCACAGACCACTCTTATTTTATGTGATATGGTGACTTGTTTTATATATAGGTTATCGCCTGAAATGTCATGGTATATGAAATCTAATTGGTCATTTATTGAAAATCTGAGACCACATTAATCAGCTGTATCAAAACGCATGAGGCAGTGGTGTTGCCGACTCGACCGACTTTTGTTATACGTGCATACAACAGCTTCAACATAGCCGAGCCAACTGAAACGGAAAATTGTGGTAAAAGGGAAAATATACCGACGGAGTATATTAATCGAACAACAGATTAATTATGGCTATGTCTATGAAGTCAGTGACGACGATTGTTTGTGATGAGTGACATCGCGATTGAGATATTTCTGTTGATAAATAAATCATGTCCCTCATTTAAGCAATAAAACATGCATCGGTAAAGTATGTTTTGTTTGCTTTAATTGTACATCGATAACTACCCCGGGACGACATTCCTGCTGCCAAGAATCTTACTATCACATTGTGACCTTGTGAGAGGTACTACTTACAAGTGAGACATGCTCAGATATTTTACAGTTTGAATTGGAGGCCATATGCTTTTCAATTAACGTTTTCTAAACCTGCTTTGGGGTATGACATATGAATTGTAAGACCTAGGTTTTACAATTGAATTCTTAGTGACAGACCTTTTGATATGAATATAATGAATATTTTCTATTGGTTAAAGGTCACAATCGAATTCCTTTAATACCGCGACACACTGTATTGTTTCACTATACATACATACATACATACATACATACATACATACATACATACATACATACATACATACATACATACATACATACATACATACAATCATACATACATACATACATACATACATACATACATACATACATACATACATACATACATACATACATACATACATACATACAATCATACATACATACATACATACATACATACATACATACATACATACATACATACATACATACATACACACACACACACACACACACACACACACACACACACATACATACATACATACATACATGCATGCATACATACATACAATCATACATACATACATACATACATACATACATACATACACACACACACACACACACACATACATACATACATACATACATACATACATACATACATACATACATACATACATACATACATACAATCATACATACATACATACATACATACACACACACACATACATACATACATACATACATACATACATACATACATACATACATACATACATACATACATACATGCATGCATGCATACATACATACAATCATACATACATACATACATACATACACACACACACATACATACATACATACATACATACATACATACATACATACATACATACATACATACATACATACATACATACATACATGCATGCATGCATGCATGCATGCATACATACATACATACATACATACATACATACATACATACATACATACATACAATCATACATACATACATACATACATACATACATACATACATACATACATACATACAATCATACATACATACATACATACATACATACATACATACATACATACATATGAAGCAGTGGTACGAGCACACATTATATTGACATATATCTAAAATGTACAAGTAGGTTCTTAGTGCGGCGTTAAACAATAAGCAAACATTTTTGTTTTGAATCTAAACTTTAACGATAACTTCGATTCGGCAAAGAGACTGTTGAGGTACAATTATAATTGTAATAAACACATATACACCCAATTATACTTTCGATTATGGAATTTTACGACGACTACGATCGTCCAAT